ATCAACAATCTTCAATAAAGGTAAGTAAAAATGTTATTTTATTATTCTTCTTTTAACGTACCAGCTGTATCCCACCAAGGTGGGGTGGCCCAAAAGGAAAGACCAAAGTTTCTCCTTTCAAATTTAGTAATATATACAGGAGAAGGAGTTACTAGCCCGTTCCTCCCGGCATTTCAGTCGCCTCTTACGACATGCATAGCTTACGGAGGAAGAATTCTGTTCCACTTCCCCATGGAGATAAGAGGAAATTAACAAGAGCAAGAACTAGAAAGAAAATAGCAGAAAACCCAGAGGGGTGTGTATATATATGCTTGTACATGTATGTGTAGTGTGACCTAAGTAAATAGAAGTAGCAAGACGTACCTGAAACCTTGCATTTTTATGAGACAGAAAAAAGGACACCAGCAATCCTACCATCATGTAAAACAATTACAGGCTTCCGTTTTACACTCACTTGGCAGGACGGTAGTACCTCCCTGGGTGGTTGCTGTCTACCAACCTACTACCTAGGATGTTATTTTATATGTTTATTTAAACGTTTATTTATTTACTACTGAGAGAGTTAGAGCAAAGGAAGGGGTAGCAGTAATGTTAAATGATCAGTTATGGAAGGAGAAAAGAGAATATGAATGTGTAAATTCAAGAATTATGTGGATTAAAGTAAAGGTTGGATGCGAGAAGTGGGTCATAATAAGCGTGTATGCACCTGGAGAAGAGAGGAATGCAGAGGAGAGAGAGAGATTTTGGGAGATGTTAAGTGAATGTATAGGAGCCTTTGAACCAAGTGAGAGAGTAATTGTGGTAGGGGACCTGAATGCTAAAGTAGGAGAACTTTTAGAGAGGGTGTGGTAGGTAAGTTTGGGGTGCCAGGTGTAAATGATAATGGGAGCCCTTTGATGAACTTGTATAGAAAGGGTTTAGTTATAGGTAATACATATTTTAAGAAAAAGAGGATAAATAAGTATACAAGATATGATGTAGGGCGAAATGACAGTAGTTTGTTGGATTATGTATTGATAGATAAAAGACTGTTGAGTAGACTTCAGGATGTACATGTTTATAGAGGGGCCACAGATATATCAGATCACTTTCTAGTTGTAGCTACACTGAGAGTAAAGGTAGATGGGGATACAAGGAGAATAGAAGCATCAGGGAAGAGAGAGGTGAAGGTTTATAAACTAAAAGAGGAGGCAGTTAGGGTAAGATATAAACAGATATTGGAGGATAGATGGGCTAATGAGAGCATAGGCAATGGGGTCAAAGAGGTATGGGGTAGGTTTAAAAATGTAGTGTTAGAGTGTTCAGCAGAAGTTTGTGGTTACAGGAAAGTGGGTGCAGGAGGGAAGAGGAGCGATTGGTGGAATGATGATGTAAAGAGAGTAGTAAGGGAGAAAAAGTTAGCATATGAGAAGTTTTTACAAAGTAGAAGTGATGCAAGGAGGGAAGAGTATATGGAGAAAAAGAGAGAGGTTAAGAGAGTGGTGAAGCAATGTAAAAAGAGAGCAAATGAGAGAGTGGGTGAGATGTTATCAACAAATTTTGTTGAAAATAAGAAAAAGTTTTGGAGTGAGATTAACAAGTTAAGGAAGCCTAGAGAACAAATGGATTTGTCAGTTAAAAATAGGAGAGGAGAGTTATTAAATGGAGAGTTAGAGGTATTGGGAAGATGGAGGGAATATTTTGAGGAATTGTTAAATGTTGATGAAGATAGGGAAGCTGTGATTTCGTGTATAGGGCAAGGAGGAATAACATCTTGTAGGAGTGAGGAAGAGCCAGTTGTGAGTGTGGGGAAAGTTCGTGAGGCAGTAGGTAAAATGAAAGGGGGTAAGGCAGCCGGGATTGATGGAATAAAGATAGAAATGTTAAAAGCAGGTGGGGATATAGTTTTGGAGTGGTTGGTGCAATTATTTAATAAATGTATGGAAGAGGGTAAGGTACCTAGGGATTGGCAGAGAGCATGCATAGTTCCTTTGTATAAAGGCAAAGGGGATAAAAGAGAGTGCAAAAATTATAGGGGGATAAGTCTGTTGAGTATACCTGGTAAAGTGTATGGTAGAGTTATAATTGAAAGAATTAAGAGTAAGACGGAGAATAGGATAGCAGATGAACAAGGAGTCTTTAGGAAAGGTAGGGGGTGTGTGGACCAGGTGTTTACAGTGAAACATATAAGTGAACAGTATTTAGATAAGGCTAAAGAGGTCTTTGTGGCATTTATGGATTTGGAAAAGGCATATGACAGGGTGGATAGGGGGGCAATGTGGCAGATGTTGCAAGTGTATGGTGTAGGAGGTAGGTTACTGAAAGCAGTGAAGAGTTTTTACGAGGATAGTGAGGCTCAAGTTAGAGTATGTAGGAAAGAGGGAAATTTTTTCCCAGTAAAAGTAGGCCTTAGACAAGGATGTGTGATGTCACCGTGGTTGTTTAATATATTTATAGATGGGGTTGTAAGAGAAGTAAATGCGAGGGTCTTGGCAAGAGGCGTGGAGTTAAAAGATATAGAATCACACACAAAGTGGGAGTTGTCACAGCTGCTCTTTGCTGATGACACTGTGCTCTTGGGAGATTCTGAAGAGAAGTTGCAGAGATTGGTGAATGAATTTGGTAGGGTGTGCAAAAGAAGAAAATTAAAGGTGAATACAGGAAAGAGTAAGGTTATGAGGATAACAAAAAGATTAGGTGATGAAAGATTGAATATCAGATTGGAGGGAGAGAGTATGGAGGAGGTGAACGTATTCAGATATTTGGGAGTGGACGTGTCAGCGGATGGGTCTATGAAAGATGAGGTGAATCATAGAATTGATGAGGGAAAAAGAGTGAGTGGTGCACTTAGGAGTCTGTGGAGACAAAGAACTTTGTCCTTGGAGGCAAAGAGGGGAATGTATGAGAGTATAGTTTTACCAACGCTCTTATATGGGTGTGAAGCGTGGGTGATGAATGTTGCAGCGAGGAGAAGGCTGGAGGCAGTGGAGATGTCATGTCTGAGGGCAATGTGTGGTGTGAATATAATGCAGAGAATTCGTAGTTTGGAAGTTAGGAAGAGGTGCGGGATTACCAAAACTGTTGTCCAGAGGGTTGAGGAAGGGTTGTTGAGGTGGTTCGGACATGTAGAGAGAATGGAGCGAAACAGAATGACTTCAAGAGTGTATCAGTCTGTAGTGGAAGGAAGGCGGGGTAGGGGTCGGCCTAGGAAAGGTTGGAGGGAGGGGGTAAAGGAGGTTTTGTGTGCGAGGGGCTTGGACTTCCAGCAGGCATGCGTGAGCGTGTTTGATAGGAGTGAATGGAGACAAATGGTTTTTAATACTTGACGTGCTGTTGGAGTGTGAGCAAAGTAACATTTATGAAGGGATTCAGGGAAACCGGCAGGCCGGACTTGAGTCCTGGAGATGGGAAGTACAGTGCCTGCACTCTGAAGGAGGGGTGTTAATGTTGCAGTTTAAAAACTGTAGTGTAAAGCACCCTTCTGGCAAGACAGTGATGGAGTGAATGATGGTGAAAGTTTTTCTTTTTCGGGCCACCCTGCCTTGGTGGGAATCAGCCAGTGTGATAATAAAAAAAAAAAATTATTTACTACTAATTGTACTGTGTATGTTTGTTGTGTATATGTAAAACTATAATTAATCTCTATAAAATGTATTTTTTTGTGTGAATATTATTGGGTTTCTGGAACGGATTAATTGTATTTACATTATTTCTTATGGGAAATACAGTGGACCCCCGGTTAGCGATATTTTTTCACCCCAGAAGTATGTTCAGGTGCCAGTACTGACCGAATTTGTTCCCATAAGGAATATTGTGAAGTAGATTAGTCCATTTCAGACCCCCAAACATACACGTACAAACGCACTTACATAAATACACTTACATAATTGGTCGCATTGGGAGGTGATCGTTAAGCGGGGGTCCACTGTGAACATCAAAATGGTATACAATACCGACAGGTTGTTAGGTAAGACACATTTGCAACAGTTAGACAACTTTATTCCGAAACGTTTCGCCTACACAGTAGGCTTCTTCAGTCGAATACAGAAAGTAGGCAGGAACAGTAGAGATGTGAAGACGATGTAATCAGTCCATCACCCTTAAAGTCGTAGAATTTGAGGTTGTCAGTCCCTCGGCCTGGAGAAGTTCAGTTCCATAGTCAGGAACTATCTGATAGTTCCTGACTATGGAACTGAACTTCTCCAGGCCGAGGGACTGACAACCTCAAATTCTACGACTTTAAGGGTGATGGACTGATTACATCGTCTTCACATCTCTACTGTTCCTGCCTACTTTCTGTATTCGACTGAAGAAGCCTACTGTGTAGGCGAAACGTTTCGGAATAAAGTTGTCTAACTGTTGCAAATGTGTCTTACCTAACAAGGGGGTCCACTGTATTGCTTCGAGTTTCGAATGTTTTGGCTTTAGAACTAGCTCCTGGAATGGATTAAGTTTGAAACTCGGGGTAACACTGTACTTGTAGTATGTAAAAATATTATATTATATTATATTATTCATCAGAGTAGTAGATGGCAGTGCTGCCTCCTAGTTGGTCAGGCTTGCAGTTATGTATGGCTGTGTAACCAGGTGTGGTAAATAGTAAGACAAATAAAAGGAACGGGGTATATTGCACTATAATAAAGCACTGTACGTGGTTGATGTTATGTTGAGATGTGGATTAACAAGATTCAGTCAGACCAGTGCATGTGAGGAAATATGCTAGTTCTTGTTCATTTGTTATTTCAAACCTGCGACCTGAGTCTGATAATTTTACCATGATTATACCATCACGCATAAAACACTGTTTGATTGCTAAATTGTTATCACATCAAAGTTTTCGAAGTGTGTATAATAATAATCATACAGTAATAATGATAATTATAATAATACAGTAATAATAGAGTAATAATAGAGTAATAGTAATAATACGTTCACACAACATTAACAGTCAGTCTTTAGCATCTGTACTACATGCAGTACACATTCAAATTATCCAGTTTCAACATGTTTTGATGTTTCAGAGGTCTTTGAGCATGGATGTTGGAGAGGCAGAATCAGAGGCAGTTGCCCGAGCAACTTTGCTTGTGGCGAATATGCTTCAGCGACCGGACCAGCTACAAAAGGTTGATCAGTATAGGAGAAGGGTTCAGCGGAAAAAGGTAGAATTTCAAAGAAGTGTTGTCCTGAATTATTATTTCATTGAAAATGTTTGTTATATTCACTTTGTATCTGAATTCTCCATGAGCATGTATAAATACTTTTATACAGTGTAATTATTCCTCATTATTGTCCCTTATTCAGTTGGCAATGGAAAGCTATGTTAAAAGCTATTGTAGTTGATATCATATACAGTTAAATTCAATTAAACGGACCATGATTTAATTGACTTTGGATTTATGGACAAAACCTGTGGCCGGACAACATTGGGAAGCAACAAAATCTGTTATATCAGATTTATATGTTATTTATACAGTCCACTGTGTAAATTCATTTTGATTCAGCAGACTGTCCATTTAATCAGAATTCTTCATTATTTTTACAGACAATTACAGTTCAGAATTATACATTATTGTTGCACTCCACTGGGTAAATTAATTTTTGGATCTATTGAACCTGACACATTAAATCCGAAAATTATTTGTTACTGTTAGATTTGTAGAAAATTTTCTGTTATCATGGATTTAATGGATAATCAGCTTTAATTGATACACCCTCTTAATATTAGTCCGCTGTATTGAGGGCTCACCAATAAGTGTACGTATATAAAGTATTTATATGAGATGGTATGCCCATATGGGTGTAGCTAGGCTTTCTCACTGTAGTATTTGTCAGGTCACCTAAATAGAAATATAGAAAGCTATGAATGAAATGGCTTTTAGTGGATATGGCCTTTACCATAAATAATGGACATACAGTAGAACCTCGGTACTCGAACAACTCCCTACTTGAACGATTCGGTATTCGAACTCATTGTTTGGTAAAAAAAAAATTGCTCGGTAGTTGACCATTTGCTTGGCCCTCGACCAAACAAACATAACCTGCCAGAACTTCGCTGTAAACTATTTCGTGTTTGAGGCCTAGGGAGATTAGTGATAACAGCCAACCAAAAAGAAAATTGGTTGGAAAAATTTTGTTCTGTACTCGAACAGCCTTCCGGAACGAATTAAGTTTGAGTACCAAAGTACTACTGTAATGCAAGAGCTGCTGACAGTGATGTGAAGAAAAATTTCTAAGTACCATCATTTATTGTATTCAGGCAGCGCTGTATGACCCTTATGAGTTTAGCGCTTAGTTGTGATTATAATAATAATAATAATATTGTATTCTGTATTTCCTTCAGGATGATCTTTGTAAAGTCTGTATTATGAAATGATAAAATACAAATTTATACATCAACTCTCACAGTGTGGAAGAGGAGATGGAAGATCTGCTGGTAAATGGGTCATTATGGGTGGTGAAGAAACGGTAGAGTTGTACATTGTTGATTTAATATAGGTAGCTTAACTCTTCCCAGTTGCAAATACAAAAGAAAATGCATAAAGGCAGGTCTTATCAGTATTGAGAGTTTGTTGGTTGTCATGCAAGTTGATATCTTCATGAGCTCTTCATTAACAGTATTTTTGAAGACAACTGGATCTGGGTTTAAGGTGTCTTTTGCAAGTAAACTGCATTTTGTTTCTGGGAAACATTGTGTAAGTCAGAGATGTTGATGTAAAATAATAGAAATCAGGATACTGGCCTGTGGCACTCCCATGTTGATACATAGTGTGTGTAAGCACTGTATTGACATTAATGGTTACTTGTTTGTGTGTGTCATTAAGGTAGGTCTTTATGTATGTGAGAGTGTGTTCTAGTTAAGCAAATGGATGTAATCTATTGTATCAAAAGTTTTTCTTAGATCATTTAAGAGGCTCATTTTTTGCTTTACTTCATTTTGTCTTGTCACCCACCCTTTCCTTCTCTCTCTCTCTCTTATTACCCTTTTATTTTCATTGCAGCATGATACTATAGCTCAAATTTTTGGGTATTCCAATCAGGAACTTTGATATATCTGGATCAGAAGAAATTGTTGTTTATACTGAAGGCTTGTTTCAGTTTTTCTCAACATTAACATGTCTTTTGATTTTTGGTGCTCACTATCTTTTTATAGAAGGTATAATTTTTGTTTATTTCCGTAAGGCATCAGTGGAGGCCATGCTAAAGACAGCTATGCAGAGTCAGTTGGATGGTGTTCGTACTGGACTTGGTCAGTTGCAGGCTGCTTTAATAGACCTTAGAGAAATTAAGACCTGGTAAGTCTTTATGTCCTCACATTTCTTTACATACATACATGTATATACATTTTTTTTTATTTTATTATTATCACACTGGCCGATTCCCACCAAGGCAGGGTGGCCCGAAAAAGAAAAACTTTCACCATCATTCACTCCATCACTGTCTTGCCAGAAGGGTGCTTTACACTACAGTTTTTAAACTGCAACATTAACACCCCTCCTTCAGAGTGCAGGCACTGTACTTCCCATCTCCAGGACTCAAGTCCGGCCTGCCGGTTTCCCTGAATCCCTTCATAAATGTTACTTTGCTCACACTCCAACAGCACGTCAAGTATTAAAAACCATTTGTCTCCATTCACTCCTATCAAACACGCTCACGCATGCCTGCTGGAAGTCCAAGCCCCTCGCACACAAAACCTCCTTTACCCCCTCCCTCCAACCCTTCCTAGGCCGACCCCTACCCCGCCTTCCTTCCACTACAGACTGATACACTCTTGAAGTCATTCTGTTTCGCTCCATTCTCTCTACATGTCCGAACCACCTCAACAACCCTTCCTCAGCCCTCTGGACAACAGTTTTGGTAATCCCGCACCTCCTCCTAACTTCCAAACTACGAATTCTCTGCATTATATTCACACCACACATTGCCCTCAGACATGACATCTCCACTGCCTCCAGCCTTCTCCTCGCTGCAACATTCATCACCCACGCTTCACACCCATATAAGAGCGTTGGTAAAACTATACTCTCATACATTCCCCTCTTTGCCTCCAAGGACAAAGTTCTTTGTCTCCACAGACTCCTAAGTGCACCACTCACTCTTTTTCCCTCATCAATTCTATGATTCACCTCATCTTTCATAGACCCATCTGCTGACACGTCCACTCCCAAATATCTGAATACGTTCACCTCCTCCATACTCTCTCCCTCCAATCTGATATTCAATCTTTCATCACCTAATCTTTTTGTTATCCTCATAACCTTACTCTTTCCTGTATTCACCTTTAATTTTCTTCTTTTGCACACCCTACCAAATTCATCCACCAATCTCTGCAACTTCTCTTCAGAATCTCCCAAGAGCACAGTGTCATCAGCAAAGAGCAGCTGTGACAACTCCCATTTTGTGTGTGATTCTTTATCTTTTAACTCCACGCCTCTTGCCAAGACCCTCGCATTTACTTCTCTTACAACCCCATCTATAAATATATTAAACAACCACGGTGACATCACACATCCTTGTCTAAGGCCTACCTTTACTGGGAAAAAATTTCCCTCTTTCCTACATACTCTAACTTGAGCCTCACTATCCTCGTAAAAACTCTTCACTGCTTTCAGTAACCTACCTCCTACACCATACACTTGCAACATCTGCCACATTGCCCCCCTATCCACCCTGTCATACGCCTTTTCCAAATCCATAAATGCCACAAAGACCTCTTTAGCCTTATCTAAATACTGTTCACTTATATGTTTCACTGTAAACACCTGGTCCACACACCCCCTACCTTTCCTAAAGCCTCCTTGTTCATCTGCTATCCTATTCTCCGTCTTACTCTTAATTCTTTCAATTATAACTCTACCATACACCTTACCAGGTACACTCAACAGACTTATCCCCCTATAATTTTTGCACTCTCTTTTATCCCCTTTGCCTTTATACAAAGGAACTATGCATGCTCTCTGCCAATCCCTAGGTACCTTACCCTCTTCCATACATTTATTAAATAATTGCACCAACCACTCCAAAACTATATCCCCACCTGCTTTTAACATTTCTATCTTTATCCCATCAATCCCGGCTGCCTTACCCCCTTTCATTTTACCTACTGCCTCACGAACTTCCCCCACGCTCACAACTGGCTCTTCCTCACTCCTACAAGATGTTATTCCTCCTTGCCCTATACACGAAATCACAGCTTCCCTATCTTCATCAACATTTAACAATTCCTCAAAATATTCCCTCCATCTTCCCAATACCTCTAACTCTCCATTTAATAACTCTCCTCTCCTATTTTTAACTGACAAATCCATTTGTTCTCTAGGCTTTCTTAACTTGTTAATCTCACTCCAAAACTTTTTCTTATTTTCAACAAAATTTGTTGATAACATCTCACCCACTCTCTCATTTGCTCTCTTTTTACATTGCTTCACCACTCTCTTAACTTCTCTCTTTTTCTCCATATACTCTTCCCTCCTTGCATCACTTCTACTTTGTAAAAACTTCTCATATGCTAACTTTTTCTCCCTTACTACTCTCTTTACATCATCATTCCACCAATCGCTCCTCTTTCCTCCTGCACCCACTTTCCTGTAACCACAAACTTCTGCTGAACACTCTAACACTACATTTTTAAACCTAGCCCATACCTCTTCGACCCATTGCCTATGCTCTCATTAGCCCATCTATCCTCCAATAGCTGTTTATATCTTACCCTAACTGCCTCCTCTTTTAGTTTATAAACCTTCACCTCTCTCTTCCCTGATGCTTCTATTCTCCTTGTATCCCATCTACCTTTTACTCTCAGTGTAGCTACAACTAGAAAGTGATCTGATATATCTGTGGCCCCTCTATAAACATGTACATCCTGAAGTCTACTCAACAGTCTTTTATCTACCAATACATAATCCAACAAACTACTGTCATTTCGCCCTACATCATATCGTGTATACTTATTTATCCTCTTTTTCTTAAAATATGTATTACCTATAACTAAACCCTTTCTATACAAAGTTCAATCAAAGGGCTCCCATTATCATTTACACCTGGCACCCCAAACTTACCTACCACACCCTCTCTACAGGTTTCTCCTACTTTAGCATTCAGGTCCCCTACCACAATTACTCTCTCATTTGGTTCAAAGGCTCCTATACATTCACTTAACATCTCCCAAAACTCTCTCTCTCTCCTCTGCATTTCTCTCTTCTCCAGGTGCATACACGCTTATTATGACCCACTTCTCGCATCCAACCTTTACTTTAATCCACATAATTCTTGAATTTACACATTCATATTCTCTTTTCTCCTTCCATAACTGATCATTTAACATTACTGCTACCCCTTCCTTTGCTCTAACTCTCTCAGATACTCCAGATTTAATCCCATTTATTTCCCCCCACTGAAACTCTCCTACCCCCTTCAGCTTTGTTTCGCTTAGGGCCAGGACATCCAACTTCTTTTCATTCATAACATCAGCAATCATCTGTTTCTTGTCATCCGCACTACATCCACGCACATTTAAGCAACCCAGTTTTATAAAGTTTTTCTTCTTCTCTTTTTTAGTAAATGTATACAGGAGAAGGGGTTACTAGCCCATTGCTCCCAGCATTTTAGTCGCCTCATACGTCACGCATGGCTTACGGAGGAAAGATTCTTTTCCACTTCCCCATGGACAATAGAAGAAATAAAAAAGAACAAGAGCTATTTAGAAAAAGGAGAAAAAACCTAGATGTATGTATATATATATATGCATGTGCGTGTCTGTGAAGTGTGACCAAAGTGTAAGTAGGAGTAGCAAGATATCCCTGTTATCTTAGCGTGTTTATGAGACAGAAAAAGAAAACCAGCAATCCTACCATCATGTAAAACAGTTACAGGTTTCTGTTTCACAGTCATCTGGCAGGACGGTAGTACTGTATATACATATGTATACCATATGTATTTGGAACAGTAAGGCCCCCACTTTACAGCATTTTACCTTATGGTGTTTCACTAATACAGACATTTCAAATTATGACCAAAACTTGCTGTACGGCTTCCCCCACCTGGCTTTCTAATACGGTCCCCATGCCCCACCCGGTTTGTTTACATTCTCTGTGAGCTCAGTGAGCTCCGTGTCTCTCCATTCTCTCTGGAAACTTTCCAAAATTTCAAGTGTTTTAAAATTATTTCATGTTTTATATATATATTTATATATACAGTGGACCCCCGGTTAACGATATTTTTTCACTCCATAAGTATGTTCAGGTGCCAGTACTGACCGAATTTATTCCCATAAGGAATATTGTGAAGTAGATTAGTCCATTTCAGACCCCCAAACATACACGTACAAACGCACTTACATAAATACACTTACATAATTGGTCGCATTCGGAGGTAATCGTTATGCGGGGGTCCACTGTACAGTGGACCCCCGCATAACGATTACCTCCGAATGTGACCAATTATGTAAGTGTATTTATGTAAGTGCGTTTGTACGTGTATGTTTGGGGGTCTGAAATGGACTAATCTACTTCACAATATTTCTTATGGGAACAAATTTGGTCAGTACTGACACCTGAACATACTTCTGGAGTGAAAAAATATCGTTAACCGGGGGTCCACTGTATATATATTTTTTTTTTCAACAGACCGGCCATATCCCACCAAGGCAGGGTGGCCCAAAAAGAAAAATGAAAGTTTCTCTTTTTAAATTTGGTAATTTATAAGGGAGAAGGGGTTACTAGCCCCTTGCTTCCAGCATTTTAGTCGCCTCTTACAACACGCATGGCTTACAGAGGAAGAATTCTGTTCCACTCCCCCATGGAGATAAGAGGAATAAACAAGAACAAGAACTAGAAAGAAAATAGAAGAAAACTCAGAGGGGTATGTATATATATGCTTGTACATGTATGTGTAGTGTGATGTAAGCGTAAGTAGAAGTAGCAAGATGTACCTGAAATCTTGCATGCTTATGAGACAGAAAAAAGGACACCAGCAATCCTACCATCATGTAAAACAATTGCAGGCTTTCGTTTTATACTTGTTTGGCAGGACGGTAGTACCTTCCTGGGCAGTTGCTGTCTACCAACCTACTACCTAGGGTTTTATATATATACTCTGATAATTATTCCTAAATAAACCTCTGATAATTGTACCTAAATAAACTTACACACACTGTTGGCATGCAGGTACACATTAGAATCACTAAGAGTGTCTTATTAGTCTTGAAGATGCCATATTAATAATGATTATTATAATAAAATACAATAATAATCACTCTGAGGCACATGAATGTCGTATATTATGTTAATATAAATATTTTCATTAATTCATCTATAATATTTTTTTCAAAATTATATAATAAACACACTATGTAACATATAAACATGATACAGGGGAACCTTAGTTTTCGTATGCCCTAGTCTGTTTGTAAAACTATAGTTATTCTCTATAAAATGTATTTTTTGTTAATATTTTCCATAAGAAATAATGTAAATCCAATTAATCCATTCCAGACACCCAAAAATTTTAACAAAAAATGCATTTTATAGAGAATAACTATAGTTTTACATACAGACTAGGGCATACAAATACTGAGGTTCCACTGTAAATACACCCCACAGTAGAATAAATTAACACAAATAAGAGATGTTTTTCCAGTCGTCTTGTCAATTTGTCGGAAAAAATAACGTTTTCTCTAGTTAAACAACAAAGAAAATGTGTACATAATAGTATTACTGGGGTTAACTATAGAAAATTATTCCTTTTGTATGCCTTCACTCAGAGTGTCATTCCTTCTAAAAAATGGTGTGTTACATGAGAATGGAAGTGTTGCTCTTTATTTATTCTTCTGTACCAGCATGGAGACAACTTGTACACAATGTAAGGTGTTTATATTATGGTATAAGCTTCACAACATGGAAATGAACGTGTTTGAACTATACTAAGACACGTTCGCCTGTTTACATACTCCATGTCTCTGTCCTCTCTCATTTACTTGTTCTCTCTCTCTCTTTATTAGATTTATCTTGTCTACTCACCTCTCACCCTACATAAGACTACAAATATTTTAAGGTAAGTAATGAGTGTACTGTATATGCATTTTATCACTCTGGGGTGCTTTAAATGTCATAGTATATTATGTGTAGGTGGGGTGGCCTGGCTGTCTACCATACCTCCCACACTTGACTTCTTACAATAAATACTACTCACCTCTCGTCCTACATTAAAACTACAAATATTTTAAGGTAATTAATGAATGTACTGTGTATGTGTATTTTACTTTTTATTGTTTTTAATGCCTAGATCCATTGCTAACTTAATATATGTTAGTGTAAACTTGTTAACTGGCATTTATATGCATTTATAAGTGGAAAAAAAAGGCATTCTGCTTTCCAGCAATGTCTGTTTTCCGTTGGTAGCCTGGAATCTAACCTGCTGTATAAATGGGACCCTACTGTAAATTTTTTAACTCATTGGCCCCACTAATGCAGGCTGGCTCAGGAAGTATAATTTTTTCCCTTTATTGTTTTTTCTTATTAATTGCAAGAGGAAAAAAGGTAATCAGCCTAGTCTCTTGCCTATGACAGCTAAAGAATGAGGGGTGGGAAATGTGTATTTCTTTAGGTCATTGTATCTTGGTGGAAAACAGCCGATATATTAATACATTAAATACAGCCTCTCCTCACTTAACGACAGAATTCCATTCCTAAGACCACGTCAGTAAACAAATTCATCACTAAACAAGGAGCATACTACAATGGTAGTGGGTTTGTGTCATCCATCTTTGATATTGTTTTAATATCACCTTTGTGCCATTTATAACATTTTTAATATATTTTTAAATGTTTATGCAGTACACCTACCATCCGAGTTACGACCTGCTCGACATACGACCATTCGACTTACAACCATGTTTTGTATGCCAAATTTCTGGGAAATAAAGAACTGTTTGTGTTGTACAGAGTGCTTATCCTAAACCTTACAGTATAAAATACAGTACTAACAGAATAAAAAGTAAAGTAAAAAATGAAATACCAAAATAAAATAATAAAATAAAATCATTACGAAAATGTGATGTTGATATTCGGTAGTAAGGTTTGACTTGCGTCCATTTCGATTTACGACCGGTTGGTCGGAACCAAGCTTGATCATAAGTTGGATGGTACCTGTAGTATACTGTCTATTGTAATAAGCAGAATAGAGGAAATCAGCTCTAATATACATTATTTAGGTATGCATACTAGTAAGAGAGCCCGTTGTAAGTCCGAGTTGTCGGTAAATGAGTACGTCACTAAGTAATTAGAGACTGTACTTCAATTGATTATGGTGTGGATATTTATGGAATTAATTATGGTATTGGTCATTTTTAAGCAATTACTGTATTTTTAGTTTGTCAGACATGGAACAAAGTTTGGTAAGAGTTCCTGAGTTGAGTGAGCGCCTGTACGAGTGCCGTGAGGAATATGTTCGACATTCTCAATATGCAGCTGCTATGGAAAACTTAAAGCACATTTTTACTGTGCCAGAGTCTGTGGAGAAAACTCACAAGTGGATCTCAGAGGGAAGATTGCTGTATGCTCACCAGGTTAGTGCATTTTATGATTTAATAAGCATCTTTACCAGTGTATATACGTATATACTATATGATTTTTACCAAAAATTTAAAAAATACAAGCGCACTACGAGCACATTTTTTAATGTTCATGTGAGGCTTACAATGGCTATGCTACTTGGGTACTGTAATGTGTGAACATCCAGCAGGCATGTGTGAGCATGTTAGGAATGGAGATGGGTGGATTTTATGACTTGATGTACTGTTTGAGTGTGAAGATGGTAGCATTTATGAAGGGACTCAGGGAAACCAGCTAGGCTGGGCTTGAGTCCTGGAGGTGGGAAGTAAAGTACTTGCACTTTGAAGGAGGAGTGGGGATATCGCAGTTTGGAGGGGCATCTGAGCTCCAGTGTCACTGCACCTCTGGCAAAATGGAGTGAGTGATGGTGAATTTTTTTTTTTTTATTTTAGGTCATCCTAGTTCTGTGGGAGACAGCAGTTGTGTTAAAAAAAATTGTGTCTTTTATCCTTTTCCATTTAAAGTACAGTAGTTGGAAAACAGCATATGAGGGGCCATGCATTGTTTTAGTTATTGTAAAAAATAATTGATATAAATAGTATAGATGTACAGTTCTCTATACAGTACATATGTTTACCTATGTTACATTGGATTTCTTAAAATAAATCACAAAATGTGCTTTCTCATGTCTTTCTTTTTTTTTTTTTTTTCATTTTTTTTAGCTTACTTCACTTGCTGTACTACATAACTATTCAAAATTTACTTAGTCATTTTATTGCATTAAAAAATATTCTTTTATGTTGCATTACAAAACTTATGTAATACTTTTTATAGCGTTTTCATTAATTAAGCCATATTACAGTCTTGTTTAACAAATCACATTACTTTTTTTTTTTTTTCCAACAAGTCGGCCGTCTCCCACTGAGGCAGGGTGACCCATAAAGAAAGAAGATCCCCAAAAAGAAAATATTTTCATCATCATTCAACACTTTCACCTTACTCACACACATAATCACTGTTTTTGCAGAGATGCCCAGAATACAACATTTTAGAAGTATATACGTATAAAAACACACAATACATGTATATCCCTCCAAACTGCCAATATCCCAAACCCCTCCTTTAGAATGCAGGCATTGTACTTCCCATTTCCAGGACTCAAGTCCGGTTATATAAAATAACCGGTTTCCCTGGATCCCTTCACTAAATATTACCCTGCTCACACTCCAACAGCTCGTCAGGTCCCAAATACCATTTGTCTCCATTCACTCATATCTAACACGCTCACGCACGTTTGCTGAAAGTCCAAGCCCCTCGCCCACAAAACCTCCCTTACCCCTTCCTTCCAACCTTTTCGAGGACGACCCCTACCCCGCCTTCCTTCTCCTACAGATTTAAATGCTCTCCATGTCATTCTACTTTGATCCATTCTCTCTAAATGACCAAACCACCTCAACCCCTCTTCAGCCCTCTGACTAATACTTTTATTAACTCCACACCTTCTCCTAATTTCCACACTCCGAATTTTCTGCATAATATTTACACCTCACATTGCCCTTAGACAGGACATCTCCACTGCCTCCAACCACCTCCTCGCTGCTGCATTCACAACCCAAGCTTCACACCCATATAAGAGTGTTGGTACTACTATACTTTCATACATTCCCTTCTTTGCCTCCATAGATAACGTTTTTTGACCCCACATATACCTCAATGCACCACTCACCTTTTTTCCTTCATCAATTCTATGATTAACCTCATCCTTCATAAATCCATCCGCCGACACGTCAACTCCCAAGTATCTGAAAACATTCACTTCTTCCATATTCCTCCTCCCCAGTTTGATATCCAATTTTTCTTTATCTAAATCATTTGATACCCTCATCACCTTACTCTTTTCTATGTTCACTTTCAACTTTCTACCTTTACACACACTCCCAAACTCATCCACTAACCTTTGCAATTTTTCTTTAGAATCTCCCATAAGCACAGTATCATCAGCAAAAAGTAACTGTGTCAATTCCCATTTTGTATTTGATTCCCCATAATTTAATCCCACCCCTCTCCCGAACACCCTTGCATTTACTTCTTTTACAACCCCATCTATAAATATATTAAACAACCATGGTGACATTATACATCCCTGTCTAAGACCTACTTTTACAGGGAAGTAGTCTCCCTCTCTTATACACACCCTAACCTGAGCCTCACTATCCTCATAAAAACTCTTTACAGCATTTTATAACTTACCACCTATTCCATATACTTGTAACATCTGCCACATTGCTCCCCTATCCACTCTATAATATGCCTTTTCTAAATCCATAAATGCAATAAAAACTTCCCTACCTTTGTCTAAATACTGTTTGCATATATGCTTCAATGTAAACACTTGATCTACACATCCCCTACCCACTCTGAATCCTCCTTCCTCATCCGCAATCCTACATTCTGTCTTACCTCTAATTCTTTCAATAATAACCCTACTGTACGCTTTTCCTGGTATACTCAATAAACTTATTCCTCTATAATTTTTACAATCTCTCTTGTCCCCCTTCCCTTTATATAAAGGGACTATACATGCTCTCTGCCAATCCCTAGGTACCTTCCCCTCTTTCATACATTTATTAAACAAAAGTACCAACCACTCCAACACTATATACCCCCTGCTTTTAGATCCCATCAGTTCGAGCTGCTTTACCCCCTTTTATTCTACGTAAAGCCTCACGTTCCTCCCCCACACTTACATTCTGCTCTTCTTCACTCCTAAAAGATGGTATACCTCCCTGGCCAGTGCATGAAATTACCGCCTCCCTTTCTTCCTCAACATTTAAAAGTTCCTCAAAATATTCTCGCCATCTACCTAATACCTCCCTCTCCCCATCTACTAACTCCCCTACTCTGTTTCTAACTGACAAATCCATATGTTCCCTAGGCTTTCTTAACTTGTTTAACTCACTCCAAAATTTTTTCTTGTTTTCATTAAAATTTCTTGACAGTGCCTCTCCCACTCTATCATCTGCTCTCCTTTTGCACTCTCTCACCACTCTCTTCACCTTTCTTTTACTCTCCGTATACTCTGCTCTTCTTATAACACTTCTGCTTTGTAAAAAACCTCTCATAAGCTAACTTTTTCTCTTTCATCACACCCTTTACTTCATCATTCCACCTATCACTCCTCTTTCCTCCTGCCCCCACCCTCCTATAACCACAAACTTCTGTCCCACATTCTAATACTGCATTTTTAAAACTCATCCAACCCTCTTCAACCCCCCCACTACTCATCTTTGCACTAGCCCACCTTTCTGCCAATAGTCGCTTATATCTCACCTGAACTTCCTCCTCCCTTAGTTTATACACTTTCACTTCCCTCCTACTTGTTGTTGCCACCTTCCTCTTGTCCCATCTACCTCTTACTCTAACTGTAGCTGCAACTAAATAATGATCCGATATATCAGTTGCCCCTCTATAAACATGTACATCCTGGAGCCTACCCATTAACCTTTTATCCACCAATACATAATCTAACAAACTACTTTCATTTCGTGCTACGTCATACCTTGTATATTTATTTATCCTCTTTTTCATAAAATATGTATTACTTATTACCAAATCTCTTTCTACACATAGCTCAATTAAAGGCTTCCCATTTACAAGTACTCTCACACTTGGTTCAAAACTCCCCACGCATTCACTCAACATTTCCCAAAATCTCTCTCTGTCCTCTACACTTCTCTCTTCTCCAGGTGCATATACACTTACTATAACCCACTTTTCACATCCAACCTTTATTTTACTCCTGCCATATCTTATTTTCCAACATTATTGCTACTCCTTCTTTAGCTCTTACTCTATTTGAAGCCCCTGACCTAATCCCATTTATTCTTCTCCACTGAAACTCTCCCACCCGCTTCAGCTTTGTTTCACTTAAAGCCAGGACATCCAGCTTCTTCTCATTCATAACATCCACAATCATCTCTTTCTTATCATTTGCACAACATCCAAGCACATTCAGACTTCCCACTTTGACAATTTTCTTCTTATTCTTTTTAGTAATCTTTACAGGAAAAGGGGTTACTAGCCCATTGTTCCCGGCATTTTAGTTGACTTTTACAACACGCATGGCTTACGGAGGAAAGATTCTTATTCCACTTCCCCATGGATATAAAAGGAAAAGTAATAAGACCAAGAACTATTAAGATAAAATCAAAGAAAACTCAGATGAGTGTGTATAAATAAACGTGTACATGTATGTGTAGTGTGACCTAAGTTTAAGTAGAAGTAGCAAGACATACATGTAATCTTGCATATTTATGAGACAGACAAAAAAACACCAGCAATCCTACCATCATGTAAAACAATTACAGGCTTTTGTTTTACATTCACTTGGCAGGACGGTAGTACCTCCCTGGGTGGTTGCTGTCTACCAACCAACTACCTCAAATCACATTACTGTCATGTATAATTGTTTGATTTTGGGATGCCTTGCATAGATTTAAATTTTAATCCAAGATGACTTTTGTAAATTTTTTAATTATACAGTGATCCCCTGCTTAGCAACTGTTTGCAAAATATAATTTCATTTATTTTCATTCATTATGCTGTATGTATCGTACATAATAAAATGATTCATTTAGTTTTCTACAAATGTCATAATCATACATGTACACCTCAAATCATTCCTCTATATTCATTTTGTTTGTCATGAATGCCTTTCATTACTTGTTCCTCCCTGTATACCCTCCACCATATTACCTCTAATATGGTCATGAATTCCTCAGTGTTTGATGGATCTGGAGAACAGCAGAGATGACTTGTTATTTGAGCTGCATAAACTACCACACCAAAATCCCAATGACACAAGAATGCTTAAGGAATATTTTGCTGATGTCCAGAAGCTTTCAGATGATCTGGGTAAGTTTGTAAGCACATGTAGTAGGAGTTAAACATAGGTACAAACATTTCTATAAATGCTATAATCTTTGAATTACACTTTGTCAGTGCTATAAGGCTTTCTTCTTTCTTATTTGATAACATTCCATAATGGGGAGAAATACCATGGCTGATAAATCATATAGATAGTTTGTATGTATATTTACAGGTAAACAGGTTTGGGTCATCCTGCAGCGCACACTCAACACTGTGAGAAAAGAACCTACTCAGATTGTTACAGCATTAAGGATTGTGGAGCGAGAAGAACGTGCTGACCAATTTGCTCTGCAAGTATGTATAAATTCTTATTGCATTAGAGTAATAGCATTTATTAAGGGATGTTATTATGAGAGTGTCTCTTTTTCAACAGAAGATTAATACTCAGAGCACCTCAGATAGTTCAGTATCGAGTCCACAGATATATTGTTACTTTATAAAAAAAAATTGTAAATACTTATTATATTGACACACGTGATAGGGTTTTGACAACCCTGCTAATGGATACAAAGCCATTCATTTAAAGATTAAGTGTCAATCATGTTTCTCATTGAACAAGGTCTTAGCTTTGACTCATTCTTTATAATTGTGAAAATTGTTTTTCATTTACTCCAAAGGTGTAAGCAGTCTCCATCACACATGACCCAGCTCTAAGCTTATCTTATACTCATTTTCTTCAAAATGCTCCTACTCTCATACTTAAGCAAACAAACAAATTTTATTTCTTCGTGATTTACATTTTATGAAGTGTTGTTAGGTACAAAGAAAACCACTAACATGCCAGGGCATTTTGGGCTGACTAATGCTAATGCTTACACACTACTTAATACTAGATATAGGTTACAGAATGGTAAATTTTAATTATTCATTATTTTACCTTATTACTAAAGTGAGGTAGCCAAAAAAATTTATAATTAATAAGATTTATAGTAGTGAGGTAGCACAAAACAAATAACAGTGTTACAGTTAGTACAATTTACAGTGATACAACAGTACAATTTTAAGTATGTATTAATGCTTTAAAATTATTAAATATTTGGAATTTTGGAGGGATTTTTTTGAGTCGTTTCAAACTGGTTGAATGATTTAGCAAGTGTTGCACATGTGTCTAATTTATCAGTTTGTCGGTTCTCCGAACCATTCATCTACATAGTGTTAGTATGGTTAATTTTGGGAGTTGAGATGATTTTTAAGCATAGCCCTAAATTAATTTGCAGGCATGGGACCTTTTGCTGGTTCAGCAATGAATTCCAGATCTTAGGGCCCTTTATGTGCATTGCATTTTTGCATAGGGCGAGACGAACACGAGGGATGTTGAAGAGAATTTTGTGCCTTGTTTTATGCGTGTGTATTCTGTTGTAGCAATAAGAAGTTTGAGAGGAGGGTTTATATTGGGATTTAATGTTCTATATACAGTGAAACCTCAAATTTCGAACGTATCGTTTATCGAACTCTTCGAAAATAGAACCCCTTTTTTCGAACCAACTTTGTCCCAATTATCGAACTCGCCCCTATTTTTGAACTGCCGGATACCGGACCTGTCCGGCAGCCCACTCTGTCCGCATTCCCACGCAAGCATCGTGAGCCTGATGCTTGAGTGAACACTAACCTGCACTCTCATTCAAATATTTTATGATTACTTCATTGTGTTTAGTGCTTGTGGGACTGCGAAATAAGCTACAATGGGCCCAAAGAAATTTGCTAGTCGTACCCCTGTGGTAAAGAAAGTGAGAAACACCATAGATGTGAAGAAGGAAATAATACAGAAGTGGAATGATGTCCAAATGTTTGTGGAGAAGTACCACCCTGAGCCAGCTGAAACAAGCAACAAGTTCAGTGACAGAACCATGTCCCATTTTAGGGAAATCTTAAAGAGGCACCAGAAACAGAAAACTGTGGACAGCCATTTTGTGAGACAGGGGTCCAGTGACTCTCAAGCTGGTCCTAGTGGCATTAGAAGACATATAAAAGAAGTAACCCCAGAAAGGGCTTTGATACCTGAAGTCCTCATGGATGGGGATTCTCCTTCCAAACACTAACCCCAGCTCCCTCTCTCCTCCTCTCTATCTTCCAGATGCCATCACCACTCTTCAAAAAAGGTAAGTAAAATATTATTTTATATGTTTATTTAAACTTATTAATACATAATTGAACACTGTATTTGTTGTGTGTATGTAAAACTATAATTAATCTCTATAAAATGTATTTTTTTGTGAATATTTTTGGGTTTCTGGAACGGATTAATTTTATTTCCATTATTTCTTATGGGAAATATTGCTTCGCTTTTCAGACTTTTCGAATTTAGAACTAACTCCTGGAATGGATTAAGTTCGATATTTGAGGTTCCACTGTGTGTGTGTGTGTGTGTGTGTGTGTGTGTGTGTGTGTGTGTGTGTGTGTGTGTGTGTGTGTGTGTGTGTGTGTATATATATATATATATATTTTTTTTTTTTTTTTCAACAAGTCGGTCGTCTCCCACCGAGGCAGGGTGACCCAAAAAAGAAAGAAAATCCCCAAAAATACTTTCATCATCATTCAACACTTTCACCACACTCACACATTATCACTGCTTTTGCAGAGGTGCTCAGAATACAACAGTTTAGAAGCATATACGTATAAAGATACACAACATATCCCTCCAAACTGCCAATATCCCAAACCCCTCCTTTAAAGTGCAGGCATTGTACTTCCCCTTTTATATATATATATATATATATGCAATAAGATCACAGTAAACAGGTGATTTCAGAATATGCAAAACAACCACTCTGAAAGAATAGAGGAATTTCTCTATTCTTTCAGAGTGGTTGTTTTGCGCATATATATATATATATATATATATATATATATATATATATATATATATATATATATATATATATATATATATATATATATATATATATATATATAATATATATATATATATATATATATATATGGGAAGTCTGAATGTGCGTGGATGTTGTGCAGATGATAAGAAAGAGATGATTGTGGATGTTATGAATGAGAAGAAGCTGGATGTCCTGGCTTTAAGTGAAACAAAGCTGAAGGGGGTGGGAGAGTTTCAATGGAGAGGAATAAATGGGATTAGGTCAGGGGTTTCAAATAGAGTTAGAGCTAAAGAAGGAGTAGCAATAATGTTGAAGGATAAGCTATGGCAGGAAAAGAGGGACTATAAATGTATTAATTCAAGGATTATGTGGAGTAAAAATAAAGATTGGATGTGAAAAGTGGGTTTTTAATAAGCGTGTTGCACCTGGAGAGAGAGAAGTGTAGAGGAGAGAGAGAGATTTTGGGAAATGTTGAGTGAATGCGTGGGGAGTTTTGAATCAAGTGTGAGAGTAATGGTGGTTGGGGATTTCAATGCTAAAGTGGGTAAAAATGTTATGGAGGGGAGTAGTAGTAGGGTAAATTTGGGGTGCCAGGGGTAATGTAAAGGGGGGAGCCTTTAATTGAGCTATGTGTAGAAAGAAATTTGGTAATAAGTAATACATATTTTATGAAAAGAGGTAAATAAATATACAAGGTATAAATGTAGCACGTAATGAAAGTAGTTTATTAGATTATGTATTGGTGGATAAAAGGTTGATGGGTGGGGCTCCAGGATGTACATGTTTATAGAGGGGCAACTGATATATCGGATCTTTAAATTTTTGTAGCTACAGTTAGAGTAAGAGGTAGATGGGAAAAGAGGAAGGTGGCAACAACAAGTAAGAGGAGGGGAAAGTGTATAAACTAAGGGAGGGGGAAAGGGTTCGGGCGAAGATATAACGATATTGGCAAAAAGGTGGGATAGTGCAAAGATGAGTAATGGGGGGTTGAAGAGGGTTGGAATAGTTTTTAAAAATGCAGTATTAGAATGTGGGGCAGAAGTTTGTGGTTATAGGAGGGTGGGTGCAGGAGGAAGGGGAGTGATTGTGGAATGATGAAGTAAAGGGTGTGATAAAGAGAAAAAGGTAGCTTTGAGAGGTTTTTACAAAGCAGAAGTGTTATAAGAAGAGCAGAATATATGGAGAGTAAAAGAAAGGTAAAGAGAGTGGTGAGAGAGTGCAAAGGAGAGCAGATGATAGAGTGGGAGAGGCACTGTCAAGAAAATTTTAATGAAAATAAAAAAAAAATTTTGGGAGTGAGTTAAACAAGTTAGAAAGCCAAGGGAAATATGGATTTGTCAGTTAAAAACAGAGTAGGGGAGTTAGTAGAGGGGGAGATGGAGGTATTAGGTAGATGGCGAGAATATTTTGAGGAACTTTTAAATGTTAAGGAAGAAACAGGGGCCCAGTAATTTCATGCACTGGTCAGGGAGGTATACCATCTTTTGGGAGTGAAAAAGAGCAGAATGTAAGTGTGGGGGAGGTACGTGAGGCATTACGTAAAATGAAGGGGGGTTTAAAGGCAGCTGGTACTGATGGATCATGACAGAAATGTTAAAAGCAGGGGGGGATATAGTTTTGGGAAAGGGTGGTTGGTACTTTTGTTCAATAAATGTATAAAAGAGGGGAAGGTACTAGGGATTGGCGGAGAGCATGTATAGTCCCTTTATAAAAAGGGGAAAAGGGGGGACAAAAGAGACTGTAAAAATTATAGAGGAATAAGCTTACTGAGTATACCAGGAAAAGTGACGGTAGGGTTATAATTGAAAGAATTAGAGGTAAGACAGAATGTAGGATTGCGGATGAGCAAGGAGGTTTCAGAGTGGGTAGGGGATGTGTAGATCAAGTGTTTACATTGAAGCATATATGTGAACAGTATTTAGATAAAGGGTAGGGAAGTTTTTATTGCATTTATGGATTTAGAAAAGGCATATGATAGAGTGGTTAGAGGAGCAATGTGGCAGATGTTGCAAGTATAGGGAAATAGGTGGAAAGGTATTAAATGCTGAAAAGAGTTTTTATGAAGATAGTGAGGCTCAGGTTGGGTGTGTAGAAAGAGAGGGAGAAATATTTCCCGGTTAAAAGTAGGTCTTAGACAGGGATGTGTAATGTCACCATGGTTTTAATTTTATTTATAGATGGGGTTGTTAAGGAAGTAAATGCTAGGGTGTTTGGGAGAGGGGTGGATTAAATTATGGGGAATCAAATTCAAAATGGAATTGACACAGTTTCTTTTTGCTGATGTTTCGTGCTTATGGGGAATTTTTAAAAAAAAAATTGCAAAGGTTAGTGGATGAGTTTGGGAATGTGTGTAAAGGTAGAAAGTGAAAGTGAACATAGAAAGAGTAAGGTGATGAGGGTGTCAAATGATTTAGAATAAAGAAAAATTGGATATCAAATTGGGGAGGAGGAGTATGGAAG